TGACGGCCTTGGCACAGCCCAGCTCTGGACGCTCCTTCTGTCTGCTCGGCCCTGAGTGGCTGCCCGGCGGCCCCGAGCTCCTCACGGCCTCCTCCTTCCAGCTCAGATTTTCATGAAGTTTATTGAAGAAGAATTTTTCTTATAGTATACAAAAATTAGTTCTGTATATAATATACATCATGAACACATGTACTTTGAAAAGTAACATTCCTTAGGAAACAGTGCTTTGGTAAATCCCAATTTTTTTCTCAGTGGAGATGTGCCTTGCAACAAGGAGGCCACTGGTTTTGGGGAAGAGACTGTTGATAGAGTGCTGAGGGGTGATAACACCGGCAGCCATCATGAGAGCTAACATTTATGGAGTACGTGTGTGTCATGCGTAGGGCTGGTACGGTCCGTGCAGCATCTTATTAAATGTTTTTCTGTGCCAATCTTGAAGACGGGGCCACGGCCACGGCCAGGGACACGGCGGAGGCCAGGGTGGCGCTGTGATCCACGATGACCTTGCAGGGGATCGACCTGTTGATGGCTGCCGGGGCGAAGGCCGCCGGGTGCTGGGCTTTCCCACAGTTCTCTGCCCTGTTCCGAGGCCCTGAAGTTTTGTCCACGCTCTCGGCACTGAACTTGGGAGCACAGTCGTAAGAGCTGATGGTCAACATGCCTCCGGTAAACACGGCGATGGGTGGGCGGGCCACCAGAGGGTCCGTGATGGCTCCCGCGTCCCTGCAGCCGAGGGCCGCTCGCCCCGGGGTCCCCGTGGGCACGGCCTGCTCATCACCCCCCGGCACGGCTCTCTTCTCGGGAGGGAACCTGGTGCTCATTCCCGGTGAGGCAACCAGGACAGAGGTCGTGGCGAGGTGGTTTGGCAAGTTCTTTGCGATGGAGAGGGTTGGCACAGAGGCGAACTGCCCGGAGACCACGCCGCCCGCACCGCTGCTGGACGTGAGCGCCTGCGTATCATCCACGGAGCCCGGGGTGCTGGCGCCCTTGGGGGCGGCGGGGAGGGGTGTGCTCTCGGCACATTTTGGTACAACGGCTATGCACGGGGCGTCCGCGCCCTGGATGGTGGTGAGCACACTTAGACTGCAGGCAGAAATGGTGGTGTTTGCACTATCGACAGACACGAGGACGGAGGGCTGATCGACGGGACTCACAAAGGGACGCTCTTTCATTGCTCCCGCCACAGCCGCGCTGCAGGCGGACACGGGGACCGCACTTGCACAGAACAGCTTGGGCACATCGCCCTTTTCCGAAGAGGTAGAGGAAACCGGTTTCTCAGACACGTGGGACATGGGGACACGTTCCTCAGGACCGTGCACGGCGACGTCCGTGGCCGCGTCTGGGGGTTTGGTGGGTGGGAGAGGCGGCTGGAGGGCAGGGGTGGCCTCCCGGAGGGGCGGGGGCTTGCTGCTGGGTGACCTGCAGTTGGGATTGGCAATGATGACACCGGTTGAACCTTCGGGTTTGGCCTCGGGGGCGGGAGGGACCTCTAAGCTCGGGGGGCCTTCCTTGCAGCCAAGCGGAGGCAGCCGGCCCTCTTTCGCGCCCTGGAAGAGGTGCGCTCGGGCCTGGTGCTTGGCGAAGAGCTTCGCCTTCGTCTGCTCCTTGATGTGCGCCAGGGTTCTG